TTTCACTTGTTATTTATACTAGCTACTAACAAATTTTATTCCAACTCATAGCAATCTCAGGTGTTTTCAAGAATATGATCTTAGCAGGTTTCTAAAGCTCTCTTCTGAGGCATCTCTGGGTAGATTCAAAACAACTTTTCAACTAATAGTCAAGCACTCAAACAATACATTTGATATTCATGTTGGCTATATATACCAATCATTTGTTTAAGTAGTATTTAATTACACAGATGTATGTTTTGTATATGCATTCCAAAGATGAGGGAACAGAGTTATTTCTTGGTTTTGGTGATTACAAAAAAATTATAAACTATGCATTCAAGATTTTTGTGTGAACAAAAGTTCGTTTCACTTGGATAGATACCTGGAGGTAAAATTTCTGGGTTGGATACTTCCCTAAACTTTTTAAAAAGCTATGAGAAATTTATTTTCTCTAGCATTACGGAAATTCCCACACATGTTATAAATTTGTTAGTGAAAAGTTATACACCTATTTCTTAGAAATTGCCATTCAGTAAACTATTCCTAAATTATACTTTGCAAGTTGTGCTGGCAACCCAAAGGTTGTTGTTGTTATGTGTCATTGAGTCGCCTGCAACCCATAGTGACCCTATATACAGCAGCTCTGAAGCCTGCCCTGTCCTAAGACAGTCTTACTAATTCCGACAAACGCTCCCTCACTGCCCCATCACTATATCAATCCATCTCATCTGGGGTCTTCCTCTCCCGCCCTGTTCCTCCACCCTTCCAAGCATGATGTCCGTCTCCAAGGACTGGTCTCTCCTGGCTATGTGCCCAAAGTATGTGAGACGGGCTTCAAAATCCTAGCCTGCCAGTTGAAACTTGCTTTCACCCTCTCCAAGGTTCAAATAAATCAGCTAATCCATGAGAGAAAGATGGGCCATCTCTTCCTATTCAATAATCCACTGGAGGGTCAGCCATGAGTCACTTCCTACTCAACGACACACTAACAACAATTTGAGGTAAGTGAAAAGTCATATGCAGTTGTAAGAAATAATATTGAGGGATCCCAGGTATGCTTTCATCCAGGTCCCCTCAATGGTGGTGGTTGTGCTGCCAAGTACATCCCAACTCTTAATGACCCTATGTACAACAGCTCTGATCCCTGCTCTTTCCTGAACCAATTTCATTGTCTCTGACATACCTGTCCCTATTACCCCAGTCACTGAGTCAGTCCATCTCATCCTGGGTCTTTTTCTCTTACCATCTCTCCACCCTTCCAAGATGATATCCCTCTCCAAAAACTGGTCCCTAATTGCAACATGCCCAAAGTATGTCAGACAAAGCTTTAAAATCCTTGCCTCTAAAGAGCAGCCAGGTTTCATCCTCACCAGGAAGGATCTATTTGTTCTCTTAGTAGTCTATGGTATATTGAATATTCTTCTCCAGGAGCACAACTCAAAGGCATTGATTCTTCTTCTATTATCCTTAGTCACTGTCCAGCTCTCGGATGCATAGCAAGTAACTGTGAAGAACATGGCCTGGATCAGGCACATCTTAAGTCTCTAGACCGAAACTACTGCTCTTCAGTACTCTGGAGATCCCTGTCAGCAGACTTTCCCAATGCTATTCACCTTTTGATTTCCTGGCTGCTGATATTAAGAGTGCGGATTATGTGGAGCGAAGCAAGCTGAAGCTGTTAATCATAGTATCTTCTCAGTCTATCATGATGCTGTCGACTGGCCCAGTGGTGAGAATCTTTGTATTTTGATGTTGAGCTTCAATCCATCAGTGGTAGTATTCTTGTAAAATCTTAACACAGTATCAGAACCAGTATACTGACATTGATATAGGCAAGAATCAGAGTATTTCCATCACTACAAGGAACCTATTATGTTGCCCTTTTAGAGTCAACTTGTCTCCTACCCCATCCTTGCTTTCTTAATATCAGTTGTTAATTTGCTCTTCATTTTTAAGTTTTGTAATTTCAAGAATGGTAAGTAAATAGTCATACAGTTTACAACCCAATGAGATTGTCTTTTTTCACTCCAATTAATTCTCTAAGTATTAATTCAGGATGTTGCATGTATCAATAGTTCATTCCTTTTTTATTACTGAATAGTATTTTGTTTTATTAATGTACAATACATTTGACTTTACATATATACACAACTTTACATAATACATCACCTAAACTTTACAAAATAATTTTTATCTGACTATACACAATCCCGTAAATAGCTTGCTTCCAGAAACTCTATGAACCTGGAGAAAGGATGAAAGTCACGCACCCAAGTGTTGAGGACTTTCATTCATAGGGTCACTATGAGGACTTTCATTCATAGGGTCACTATGAGTTGCCTATGACTGGAATTTACACTACATTCAACAAGATGAAAAAATAGATTAATGGAATTTCCAAAGTAAAAAAAGACATTATTAAACTAATTACTATGAGGCGCTCTTGTGGCGTAGTTTGTAGTAAGTTGTCCTGCCAACCCAAAGCCACACATCTCCTACAGTGCAAATCTACCAACCGTTCTGATAGAGAAAGATGGGCAGTCTTTTCCTGTTACAACTTACAGCCTTAGAAAGCCAATGAAACGCCACTATGAGTTGAAGAAAATGTGTTTTTTGAGAATTACTATGAGACATTATTCATTTTTCACTTGAGCAAAACAGCTCTGAATGTTATAGAATAAAGCACAATCAAAATAAACAAATCATTTCCTATATTGCATCTTATAGTCAAAGTAGGAATACATAAATATGATTAGTCGTGAAGAAAGGTAAATTTATAAATCATAAATCTAATCGTTCCAATGTCTGGCAGAACAAAGTATTTTTCAATTCATTAAAAGAGTCTGAATGTCTGCAAATAAATATGGCACTGCTTTCCCTTTGTCATTTGTGTTTCTGTCCTAACAAAAGATCAGTGCTGACTATAGTAACACAAATAATATTCCCACTAGCAGTCTGAAGAAAATATATGTAAGTCAAAGCTTAGTGTCGGTGAAGTTATGATTTAACAAGTTGGTAGATAGACTACTATTATGTTTATAAAGGAAATATCAAGTCAAAAGATTTCCCTTTTGTGGAAAATGTTCAAGGAATCTACACTGTACAAATTCTTATTTTTAGGTAATTGGGCTAATGTTCTTGTTGTTGTTGAAGTGTCATCAAGTCATAGACGCTCATAGAGACCCTATGAATGAAAGACCTGAGCACTTGTATAACTTTCATCGTTTCTCCTTATTCATAGAGTTTCTGGAGGCAATCTATTTCTGAAGTGGATTCCACTCCTGCTTCAGAGCTTGTTTTAATCAGGGGGCTCCACCAAACACTGTCCACCATAACCATTATCACATTTGACACATCAGTGTCACAGTGTTTAGTATCACAGCAACACAAGTTACCTCTACACAGCAAATGGACAGACCAGTGCTATATCACTTAGAAGAATGTTATAGTCACAGTTAAAAATTAATACATACAGTAATATTTTAATTGGCTTTCCTTAGAGATTTCAAGAATACAGGTTTTTCAGTCTCTTTGAAATAAATTACAGAGAAAAGGAGATGAAGACAAGGAGTATTTTTAGGAAACTGACATTGTTCTGTATGATATCATAATGGTAGATACAAAACCTGTCATTTGTCAAAACTCATTTTGACTGTATAATAGAAAATGAATCTAAATGTAAACTATAAACTTTTATCAATAGTTAATAATGATCTATCAATATTAGTCTATCAGTTGTGACAAAGCACCAAACAAGAGAATAATGATGATGATAATAATAATAATAATAATAGGAGAAACACTATAGAGAAGAAGAAACTCCATGTTCTATATAAAGTTTTCTAGAAATTAAAATGGTTCTAAAAAAAGCAAATTAATTTAAGAAGTTACAATGCATCACCAAAACCCAGAAAGCATAATTAATTAGGACTAGAGTTTTAGGTAGCTAAACAAGGCAAATTAGGATAACACTTTTAAATTATTTATAATATTAACAAAAGCATCTATCAAGAGAAACTTTTATTTTTATCCACTACTTATAAACGGTCATCTGAATGAATGAAGCAAAATTTCCATCAACAACGTGTGGAACTTTCATATGGCATAGTCTGCAAAGAGCTGTCCCTCTCTGGCAGTTTGAATCCACCAAGGGCTCTGTGGGAGAAAGATGGACCGTCTCCTCCTGTGCTATTCACAACCTCTGAAAACACTGGGAGGTCAGCTATGTGTCAATTCAAAAGCGAAAACCACGAGTTTTAATTCTCTAACAGCCCAAGTAGGGAACAAAGCATCCTGAGAAACTGCTGTGTACCTTTATCTTATTCTGGGTGAAGTACTGTTATTAAAATGGCATTAATGAATGACTAAATTAAAAATGATAAATATACAGAAAGTACAGCCATAAAGAATAACATCTAATATACAGATCCTATCTGTTTTTGTGATGGAAAACTTGACAAACAGGTATCGGTGATGGTTTGCACATGATAAACTAATTTGTATAAATGAATCTAAATGTAAAAAAAGCATTGACTTGGCAAATGTGGTATTATTAATAGTTTACAACTTTTGTAAATAATGTGAAACAAAGAAACAAACAAAAAGTTATTTAGGCAGTCTCCAAGTTATGAATGAGATCTGTTCCTAAGTACATCTGTAACAATTCTTCGTGGCTTCCAACTGGATCTATTCAGTTCAAGCATGGCTGAGGAATCATTAGCTGAACAAGACTAGGGTTTTTAAGTTCTGATGAACTGCAAAGACAGCCAGAACAAGAAAAATTTTAAGTTGAAGCCTTGCTAGAATCTTAAACCTCCTGCCTGCACATAGGCAGCATATGTGTTGCATGGTATATCTTAATTTGTTTGTTATTCTAGCAGTACCAAGCTTAATATGCCAAACTGCAAAATCTAAGGTCAGATCCCATTTCACTTCATAAGCAATGATAAAACTTGCTTAAAGGACAAATAAGTCATAAGTTTGTAACTGTTTACTGCAATCTTCAGTTATGGGTTTACCTTATCAGCTTTTAGCTTTCTAAGGAAAGATGGATTGTCATATCCTTTTGCTTGCCTTGCTTCTTGTAAATGGTTGATCATCCACACATTTTTTCTTTGCTTTGCCAAATCAAGTGCTGATTCACCCTGATAATATAAGTAAGAGAAACTTAGATATAAAAGATTATTGTAGTTACTAGCTTTTAAAACATTTCTATAAATACAGTAAGATTATAGAATTAGTTCACTGACATTACCATTTTGACAGATGACAAAGTTAATTCCTCAGATAATCTAAATCATAACTTATTATGCATTTTGTTTTCCCATTCCAAAAATCAGAAAATGTATTAATTTTTCATTCTCTAGATTCTATTTTTGCTTGAATTTTGAATCAGAGAGCAAATCAAAAAGTAGGTATTTTAGTCCTTGCTGGATCACAGGATATCTTTAAGTTTATCTTTAGGCATTCAAATTATTTGAGTAGTAATTACTACTATGAAACATCTTCCTATAATGCTTAACTATTACAAGTTTGTTTAATTTCTGTGATGATAAACCTTAAGAAAATAATAAGAAGATAAAGAAAAGTGAACTTCTACAACTCTGAGTGTTGGATTGATATTTTTGACCTATCTCAAACTCATTTACCCCTCCAGAATTCCCGAAAAGAGTCAAGTAACAGAAAGTAGTGAAACTCAAAGTTATATAATCCTATTTAAGCCCAAGAAAAAAGAATGCAAGACAGTGTAAATGAAATGGATTAAACAGCAGGTGAAAGGGAAATAAGAAATAAGACTTTTTACTTGAGATCTGTTTCTTTTTACCATGACTAATTTAAAATCTTCCTTGCAAATTGGTTAACATCTATATTTCCATCAAATTTGTTATGATTTCTTTACTTCTTTAACTAGAAAAAGAACCCTGGTGGAGCAGTGTGTAAAGTGCAGTATTGCTAACTGAAAGGGTGGCAATTTAAATGCACCAGCCTCTGCACCAGAGAAAGACAGGCAGTCTCATCCTATAAAGATCTACAGACTCAGATGCTCGATGAAGAGTTGCCAGAGACAGAACAAACTCAATAGCAGTGGGTTTGGTTTTACTTTAAAAGAGAAGAGTGAAACTTAAAATGTCTGTCAACATTTCAGAAACGTAAATTAAGTAATCAATTCAGGATATTCAAAACTGCTTAAAAAAGAAAACACACTGAAATTTTATTTCACAAAATTCAGTGAAAAGAACCAAAGAATAAGGAATTTGATGTGCCATATTTGTACGGTATAATTTTTTATAAAGGATGGAGTCCCGTTTTATTTTTATAAATTTAAAATAAAAACAAACAACAAAATAAAACATACCACCAACAACAGCAATGACTGTCAATAGCAACAACAAAAAGTGGAAATAACCAACCCTTTTGTAAAAATACGAATGGTATTTAAAAAAGAATTGGCTAATCTAGCAGTCTGCCACAAACAGGTTTATTTACTATAAAATATCTCCTGATCTACTCCAAAATTGTATAGCCTAAGTTGTCAGAACCAGCTAATTATTCCAAACTATAAAGATTACCTGCATAAAAGCAATCCCTTTGGGTAACAACTCCCATTGAATATCCTGCTGTTGCCTCGGTCCAGCTGAGCATCCCTTCCACTAGAGGGCCATGTGACACCTAAGGATTGCCTAGATAAAAAGATTGAGGGAGCTTTTAAGAAATCTTTCAACTACTTCTCTAGTCATCTGACTACATGTGTATAGTTCTTTTATCCATCTGGCAAAATAAGCACACAATTCATCTGAAGAAATATACTAAAATCAAAGTTCCAAATCAAATATCTATTGGATTACTCCATGTATCAGTCAAAATAATAAATAACAACAATAACAACAGGAGTCTACATGGAGTATTTCATTGACTATGTAACTGGTAATAAATTTTTAAAAAATTTTAGTTAGAAGCAGAGCTAGGGTAAAAGATCACTTAAAAGTTGTGTCTAACTAACAAAAACTCTTCCTTAAAGACAGACCATTTAGGTCTATGACATAAGAAATAATGGAAACTATTTTCTGAAAACAGTTTCTCAGCTTATTTAAAGAAAATATGTGATAGTCATTTACTTCTCTATATATTAATAACAAAACTCAGTAATTTTACATTCTGCACAAGTTAAATTTACTTTTGATATAATAAAGAAAAATCTTACGAATATATAGGTAGCACTAATAGAAACTAATGTGCCCCCAAGTACAATTCAATTTGTCAAATTACTTGTAAAAGATCATGAAATGAGATCCTATCATAAAGGCCAAAATCTCCCCCCTTCATACTCCAAATCATTTATTTGGAAAAACTGTTGTTATTTAACAACAACAAAAGATATGTATGTATTCTATGTATCTATTATCTAGGACAGTGATTCTTGGACTCTTTTGAATCATATCTAATAGAAGCCACTAAAGTGATTATCTCCCACAGAGAAGTGCCAATAAATGTAAACTTTTTTTAAAGTATTTCAGGGGTCTAAGGTACCACTCCCCTAAGCAAAAACTCTCTAGTAGATTCTAGTTTAAGAATTAATACCCTAAGGTATTCTAAGGAGTTTTGTGCACTATAAATGGTTACAGTTTAGATGTTACCTGAAAGTTTGGAGATTTGAATCCACCTGACCTACCACAGGGGCCTACTTCCAACAATTAGAAACTGAAAAGCAGAAGGAGCACAGTTCTATTTTGACACACACGACAGTTATACCCTGAGACAAGTGCTAGAGATAGCTCAAGCCTGACATATGGAATTGTCATGAGTGAGACTCGGAGGTAAATGGTTTGGATTCTTCCAAAGATCCAAAGAGTCATCTTAAAAAGCTACATATTATTGAATGTCAACCAGGATTCAAAGGAAGTTCTATCTTATTTTTATGGCACAAGATAGGGCTAGGTTTTGATATGTTATTCCAGGGATTGCTATGAGTAGTCATAGTCAACTCGATGGCACCTAACATTATCATCTTTCTTTGATTAAAAAATAATTATTTGTTACTTGAATTACTAATTTATAAGGGTAAGTCTCTAGATAGACTTCTAAGAAGTTTAAGTCTAATCTGTTTTAGAAAATAGCTATTTGAGAACAGTACAGGTTAGTATGAAGGCAGACCTAAAAAATCTGTTTCTGAAATGTTACAGCTTTGAAAACCCCCCCAGAATAGTTCTACTTTGAATACATGGGGTTGTCATGAATTGACTCTAAGGAAACTAACAAAAACACTAACTTCATAATGATTATAAAACAAAATTTATTAACACATAGGACTTTCACGGGTCAAAAGTCATATGATTTTCTCTTAAGTTTTAAAATAAAAATTGGATAAATTTATCTGGATAAATGCACTTTATTGGTCACATTTCTAGATAAATAATCAAAGTTTTCTTTCCTTTTTTAAAAGTGAACTTTTCTCTTTGAAAATTTGCAGTCATTTATCAGTATATCTGACATTCCACAAGATTAAGAGGCACCAACTAACATGACTAAAGTCATTCATATTTTATCCCCTGAAAAAATATAAATCAGAGCCTCATTAAACAATCATTGCCAGTTACTCAAACCAAAAGCCCAAGTCAACAATGATGTTTCTTTTCACCCCATATCTAAACTACCCATTATATTCTACTCTAACAATCAACTCTAAACCCATTCATTTCCATCAATATATATGTTTACTATCTTAACCTAAACTATTGTCATTTGCACCATTTTTTATAACCGTGTAAGTGTTCTCTGTCCTTTGTTTTCTTTTTGATGTATTCTACACACAGTAACCAAAGCAATCTTTTAAAAATACTTAAAACAAAAAGTAGATTATAAGAACACAAAGCTCTTCATCTTAGTCTTTCATGATCTGGCAGCTGCCTCTCTCGGTGATCCCTCCCTTTGTACTTCAAACACAGCAAGCTTAGTCACATCTAGGGTCTCGCATTTGCAGTTTCCTTGGCATAAAAAGTTTCTCCCCACATAACTATGCATAACTGACTCCTCCTCATCATGCAAGTCATAAAAGAAATGTGACCCCCCCCCCCAAGCTACTCTCATCTACAATGAAGGTAAGACATACTTGAAATTATTTAAATTGTATTGAACTTGTGTTATTAATGTTTTTTGTAAGTTCAAGAAGCACAACAGGCTAAAATGGTCCTCTAAGTCCTCTACGAGTGTATATTTTCCTGTAGTGGTTTGATTTTTTCCCCCCTTCCTCTCTCATTTATATTTGTCCACATCCTCAATAGAATGCAAGCTCTGAGAAGTTGATCAAACATGCAATCAAGATGCATTGATAATAATGGGCGACTGGAACGTAAAAGTTGGGAACAGGGAAGAAGGATCAGTAGCTGGAAAACACAGGCTCGGTGAGAGAAATGAGGCTGGAGATAGAATGATAAGAGTTCTGCACATTCAATGATTTATTCATTGCAAATACCTTCTATAAGAAACATAAACACAGACTATACACATGGATCTCACCTGATGGAATGCACAGAAATCAAACAGATTACATTTGTGTAAAGATTCAGTGGAGAAGCTCAATGTCAGCAGTGAAAACCGGGCCAGGTGCTGATTGTGGGACAGACCACCAACTACTCATATGCAAGTTCAAGCTGAAGTTGAGGAAAATTAAATAAAGTCCACAGAACCAAAATTTGATCTTAAGTCTATCCCACTCGAATTTCAAAACCATCTCAGGAACAGGTTTGAAGCCTTGAGCACCAATGAGCGTAGGCCAAACGAGCTCTGGGAGAATATCAAGAAAACCGTCCATGAAGAATGCAAAAGATCATTACGAAGGCTGAAAAAGAAGAAAAGACCAAGATGGATGTCAGATGAGACTCTGAATATTGCATTAGAGCACCAAGAAGCCAAAGCTAAAGGAAGAAATCAAAGAGCTAAACAGAAAATTTCAAAAGGCAGTCCGGGATGACAAAGCAAGATACTATAATGAAATGTGCAGAGAGCTGTAGTCAGAAAATCAAAAGAGATGAACTCGCTCAGTGTTTCTTAAGCTGAAGGAGCTGAAAAACAAATTCAAGCCACGGGTGGCAACACTTAAGGATACTTTGGGTAGAATGTTAAATAATCTAGGAAATATAAAGAGAAG